GCGTGAATTTTCTCGAGTCTCTAAAAAGTGGTAATGAGAAGAGGAAAAAAGAAAAAAAAGTCAATGAGTCTCTTATAAAAAGGTAATAGAAGAGGAAAAAAAGAAAAAAAGTTATAGAAAGTTCGTCAAGCGTATTCTAAAGGAAACAGAGAGGAGAATGAAAAAAGTTGAGGAAAAAAGGAAAGCGACAGAATGTTGATCAGAATGATAGCGAAGCGATTCATGAAAAATGCGAAGAAAGTGGAGAGGAGACTGTTATATTTCTTTTTTTAGACCCACACTGACCAACAACCAAATGACACCACATAGACAGGTCACAAACACGTTTATTTTGTCATGAATGGTTATAGTTTTATTCCTGTTATGTAGTTGTTACTTACAAAGTTCAAAAGACGTATTAGAAAGAAAAAAAGAAAAAAAATTATTAGAAAGGTTGTGCAGTCATTCAGCGTATTATAAAGAAAAAAAAAAAAGCCACTAGAAGAGGAGAAAAAGACTCGAAGAACGATTAAAGACATCCCTATTTTTGTACGAATGTCTCATATAGGTCCTCATATTTATTTTTATCTCAATTAGGTCCCTATTTTTGTAAAACTGAGTCAATTGGAACCTTGCCGTTAATTTTAATAGACGGCGTTTAAATTTATTAAGTCGTGGCACGCTGACGAAGCAAATTTTAATGAGTGGCACGTGGTTCCAGTCCAGGCCAATTTTTTAGGTTTTTTTTTTTTTTTTTACTTTGTTGCTTTGGTTCTCTCAGCCCTTTGTTCCATTCTCTGCTCTTCATTTCTGATTCTCCCACTCCCACATACCTTTCGTATCATCGTTTCAACCAAAAGTTTTTCCTTCATCACCCAACGGTTCAGCTTTCGCGTCCCCAGGCCCTGGGTGGTGCAGGACGCAGCCACTGTATCTTCTTTGCTCCACCTCCTTCTTCTCACACCGCATTTCCTCCCTCCCTCGCGCGCTTCGCCTCAACACCACACCGAACAGTTGGATTCAACTCCGCCGCTTTCCTACCGGAGATCCGAGAGCAATTTCCATCTCGCGAGCGGATCTCATCTCCGCCGGACTGAGTTCCTTCTTCATACTAAACTTTCAACTGATGGGGTGGCGGGTTGAAAGGATTCAATTGAGATGATGATTGGTTTTCATCGGGCGAGTGCTTTGTTGTGGTGTTTTACTGCAGCTGTGTTTCAGTGCTTTGTTGTATTTGGAAGTTAAAGAGATTCAGAAATTTAATAAAGACACGACAAAGAAAGTAAACGGACCAAGGATTAGGATTTTATTCGAGTACAAAACTCCCCCCAAAAAAAAAAAAAGCAGATGATGAAGGCAATAGGAAAGAATGCAAAGGGCCGCCAAATACCTATACAAGACAATACATAACAGAGAATGGCAATCACTTCATGAGAAAAACCCAAATGATAAACCAAAAACTAAATTTTATGTGCAAGCAAACATTGGGGGCACAGAAAACCCCATTTGTATACAGTCAAGTGTCATTTCTTCAGATTTGGTTCACCATGGTATTCTACTTTTCCTACTTCTTTTATCACTCTATTCCATTGAACCAGCATCTTGTGCCTCCAGAGTGAAGTTCCTTCCAGGAAAACATTTGGTTGAAACTGATGATACGAAAGGTATGTGGGAGTGGGAGAATCAGAAATTGAAGAGCAGAGAATGGAACAGAGCGCTGAGAGAAACCAAAAGCAAAAAAGTAAAAAAAAAAAAACCTAAAAAATTGCCTGACTGGACTGGACCACGTGCCACGTCATTAAAATTTGCTTCGTCAGCGTGCCACGACTTAATAAATTTAACGCCGTCTATTAAAATTAACGGCAAGGTTCCAATTGACTCAGTTTTACAAAAATAGGGACCTAATTGAGATAAAAATAAATACGAGGACCTATATGAGACATTCGTACAAAAATAGGGATGTCTTTAAGGATTAAACCATAAACATGCAGAAGAATTTGTCATCAATGGCGTCTTCATTTACTCTTTCAATTTTCTCCAAAATCCTACTTACATGACTTTCAATGTCATCTTGCAATTCTGCAAGGTTTGTTACCCGTGAAAAATATTGTTTCATGGTTTCTGAATTGGATATCTCATATTTTTCATATTCTCGATGCATGGATTACAGTTTGGATTTCAAAGGTTGCTTTACTTATTTGCTTGTTTTGACATTTGTTATTTTGCCAAATCTTGAATAGTCTACACCTAGGTGAATTTGCGATAACGCCAGTTGGTCCTTCCTTTGAGTTGTATCATCAGCTCCTTGGCGTAGGCCTAGTTCAATAAAACTCCAACTATTATGAGCTTTCAAATGGATGGACATCACAATGTCCAATAAGTGTAATGTAGTTTCCCATCTAATTTGGGATTCGACCAAACAATATTGTAATTTGTGGCAATTTCTCTCTCTTCAATAGACTCTATAAATTTGATAAAGTTAAAAGTTTCTTATTTCGCACACACTTAAATTTTCTTACTAACTCTCTCACAGACTCACGAAACCAATGTTGGATCTAACCATCTCTAATATCAATTTGATACCGAGAGGACATATATAAAAAATTCAAGAACTCACGATTTTGCTTTCTTAAACACAAATTCTATTGTTTTGCAAAACTTACTTACATTATGTATCACCTTGGTAGCTTATTTATGAAAGTTAGATAAGCAAACAAACCAAAGTAATACAACATTTTGATAATGCACTCATGGATCACACATTTTTCGTAAGTGTTGAAAAACTCAAGTGCAAACAAATTTCTTTTTATCTTTAAAGTAGTTTTAGGCCATGCTCTTGATTTAATTCAACCAAAATCAATGGTAGAAAAAATATATGACTTACTTTTTTTAATTCTTGGTATTGTTTCATTATATAAGTATTTTATTTTATAATTATATTTTTTAGTCTAATTTAATATGGTTCTTTTCAATTTGAGTGGATATTATTGTAAAATGAGTCCTTCTACATCCTTTTTTTTTCTTTTGTCACACAGATTTTCTACTTTTTTTCTACTAGGATGATATCAGTTTAAGTTTAGAATTATATTCTTGTTCTTATTTTGCATGTTTGTTATTAAATTTTAGTCTTGTCTCGTAGTTCTTTAATAAGATTTAGTTCAACATCCATCCATTGTTCATTCTTTCAAATTGTTTATTAAATTAAATGTCTGTCAATAGAGTGATGAATTTGTTAATCTCAATCAGAATCATAACATTCACTTCGTCGATAGTAAGGTGTATGCATATGCTCATAATGCTTTTTAACAACTTTTCAACCTACATTTTTTTTGTTGCACATATGTTTTCTTGAGTCCAAACAATATGACTTTGTTAGTAGTTTCTACTTGCCTAATTATTTTGAGTGTTCCATCAAGTTGATTGCATGTCATACCAAGTTCATGGCAAAACTCCTCAAAATCATTTCTTAATTAATCGTATTTCATTGTTTATTATGACATTTAAAAACTACATATTGACATATTATGTTTTTCACACAAATTTATATAATTTTTGGACTACTATCTTTACTAGAGGTTTTGATTCCTTTTGTGAAGTGATCAGCAATTACAATAAAGAGCTTGCATTGTTTGTGTAATGATGAGGAAGAATTAATAATGTTTATTTCCTAGGTAGTGAAAGGTTGATGTTGAGGTGAGTTGATGATGAAACTTTTTCAATGTAAAAGGTTGATGTTGAGGTGAGTTGATGATGAAACTTTTTCAATGTAAAAGGTTGATGTTGAGGTGAGTTGATGATGAAACTTTTTCAATGCAAAAGTGTATTATGTTTTTATGTTGTTGTCACCTTAAGCAATTCTTGACATAGTTTGTATAATCTCCTTTATGTATTTTTTTTCCCATTATGTGTTTGGCTTGGGTAAGGGTAATTCATCTTATTAGTGGTGTTAAGAACCCATGTTTAAATGATTTGTTCCTTACTGTTTTGGTTGTAGGATCAAAGATCTCTACAAAATATTCATTCACACTTTTTTCAAATTCAGCTTAGGTTATCTTAAACACTTTTTAGTTAACTCCTTTATACTTTCTTGATGTTCAAACTCCAAACCGTACGAACGGGTATTATCAAAGGCGCTCTGATGCTCAAATCAGTAATCTAATCGATCGGGATTATGTTAAAATCTCAAATTCGCAATAAATGCAATCACCTACTTTTTTATCTTTAACTTGTATTTATAGGTGTTGACTTGGGCTTGTGATTAACAAGATCATAATCACGGTCCATAGTCTTAATAAGTAGAACTTACCGGTAAACCTGATTAGAGATTATTCTTAAAGTTATTTAAAATTACGATCGTTTGACTTTCCTGCTTTCATTGGCCAACGTTGGTTGTAGTTGGACCTTCATTGAGTCCATCTTGATTCATAATTGGCTGCAAAAGTAGTCCATCTTGATTCATAATTGGCTGCAAAAGTAGTTCAACTCTTTAACTTACATGAATTTGGCAACCTAAGCCTTAAATCTTGTAGATTTGACATTATTTATTTGTTTAACATTATCAAAGAATGGATCTAACATAAACATCATGACCATGCGGTGTAACACCACCTCAAGGTTTACGTTTTTTACCTTCATTGCTACCTTCATTGCTACTTCGTGGAATCTTTCCTTAATGTCCCTATTTTCTTGGTCATAAATGTGTAAAAATAAATTATAGAGTAGGTAGGTAACTTAAGAACTACTTAAAGTTGTTTGTTCGAAAAAGGTCGAAAATACTGGTAGGTCTGAGCAACGGCCGGATTGGGTCGGATTTGGGATCAATCCGACTGATACGTTATAATTTGAATTTAACATTTTAAGACCCAATATGACAGTTTAATTTATCTAGTTAATTGAACATAGATAATTTAGGTTACCGTTAAATATGGGTTAATATGGACGGTAACATTATAACATAGGAAAATGGAGTAATAGATGAGATGAATTTCGTTTCTAGTGATGAATTAGAAGAAACATTAATAAAAAAATAAAATAAAAATAAAAACTAGATTTAATAACTACCTATCTTAAGAGTGATGAATTACAATGATCCCAAATGCACTAGATGGGACACATCTGAAGAATAAAATGGACAAAAGAAAAACAAAATCGATGATGAACACATTACACGAACCATTAAATGAGCATTCATAGAGCCAAAAATACAGCAATTGCAGATATCAAATACTTAAGACTACACACTTGCAGGTTCACACTTCCACCAAAGGGGCCTGATGGCCCTAGTGCTGTTGGAGGTATACTCAATCCACCAGTGCTCGAGTTTGAACTGATGAAAAAAAATCCATCAACATATAACAAATTCAAAATGCCCCAATTGATTCTTGTTTGAAAACTTTTTTACATAAATAGTTTTAGGAAAGAAAAATAAAGAAAAAATTAAATTCAATTATACATGAGTTAATTTGTGTAGCTTATTATTTCTTATAGCTACTCCAGTAGATAAAGTAACTTTTGTTAATAAAAAAATCATTTTTTCTTGTTCTTTTTCTCTATTAAAAGTGTTCACAGAAAAAATTTCACCAATAGAGCTTAAGTCTAATGAATGAAGGATGTATAAAGATTGAGATTCTATACCTTCCAGTAAATATACAGGATGAAGAACCTGAAACAAAGTATACAGAATTAATTGGTTAAGTAACTTCCTACAATTCCTCAACACAAAGATATGACAACACTCACAAAGATATGCATCCAGTCAATAATAATACTGCTACAGACGCAATTACCTAAGCCTACATAACAAGTTAATAGACAACTGAAGTGCAGCTTATTGACACTGTCGCTCTAATTCTTTAACTACTATTAAGCAATGAAACTGAAACCAAGAGATGTTGTATTACACTACGATCAAAGAAGGGTTACATTATTTATTCTAATATTCAACAGAGTAATGGATCTATCTTTTAAGGTTATGCCAATGATAGTAATTAAATTCAATTTGAACTGTACAAACCTACAACTTTACACCACTCTTACAATTATTCAAAGACTTCTTGCTAAATTTATCTAATGATAATAATAATATGACAAGTAGAGACAAGGTCACCAACCAAAGACTTTAGAATCCATAATTTATTATCCCATAATGTTTTGCAGGGGAATTGGAAGTATTTATTCAACTTCAATCTTTGAGAAGCAATAGATGTGTAATGGTGTAATTTGGAAAGCATGTAGGCATATGTGCCTATACATTGATAAGCTATAGTTATAATTGTTTTCTTGGTCCATTGGTCAATCAAATAGATATGATACAGTGACCAACGAAGCTCTCAGTTTCCTACAACTGTTAGTGCACAATTTGGAAACAAAATGGTTATGTGTTACAGGAGAACAATAGCAGAATGAGTTAAAACAGAAACAAGAAATCATATCAACTTACTAGGATCCTTGGAAGTAATTGTAGCAGTACCGTCAAAGTCGCAAGTTCCACCACTACTATGCTTTTTCTGATAATAATCATTGTAAGCATAAGATGCATGACTTTTCACATTATTGGGGAGATAGCATGGCTGCCCCTGTTGAATTGCAGCACAATTAGCTCCTCCTTGTCCACAAGCCCAGCTCAGGCCAGATTGCAGCTTATCAGTGTCTGCACCGTCTTTAGCCACACAAAAAACTCCTGAAGAATTTCCAGCAGTAATCTGGTCAGAAGCACCAAAACTCAAAGGAAAAACAGTACTCCCATTGGTATAAAAGATGCCCCAATTTTTTTCTGACACGGGCCCATCCACCTTGTCTTCATTAAACAATTCATATATGTATGTATTGATGGCTATGTTTGGCTGACTAGGAGGACCTGAATCATTCATGACCCGCTGAATCATGTTATTAATGTAGAGTTCAGCATTTTCTTCAGTAGCATCTGGTTCATTGGCTCCGCCAAATGATGGCCAGCCAGTCTCTGTGACAATAATGGGTATATTCTTGAAATTTAAAGCTTCTATAGAGTAGTAGGTAGCATCCACCATAGCATCAAACATACTGTTATAATGAAACAGAGTGTTCGGGTCAACAATTTGCTTCACTGAAGGGAGAGGACGGAAGAGAGCATATTCAATAGGGAAAATACCATCTCCTTTAGTATAACCATAATAAGGGTAGGCATTTAACATGTAAGATGAATTTGTGTTCTGCAAAAACTGAAGGAGCTGGTAGATTGTGGAGTTCCATGAGGAGTTAAAGGTGGCCGTGGAAGGAGGAAAAGGCCTGGAAATTATATCCATGGACTGTGGCGTTGAAATCTTAACCCTAAAGTTAAGGTTTGAAGCAACAAGTGCTTTGTGCAGATGGTTCATGGCAGGAACAAGAACAGGTGCAACTTTTGGGACTAAGGTGAGAACCTCACTACCTACTGATATTGCTGTGATGTTAGTAAATGGCATGTATGCAGCCACATTCTTACTAATCCAAGCTGCAGCAACTGATGCAGATTCTCCAATGCCTAGTATCTCTTCATCTGTGACACCAACAATTACTTCAATACTTGTGTTTGAAAGTGCTTGTAGTAAGTGCACATTAGCATCATACAAACGCACATGAGTAATTTGATTACCCCGTAGAATGTCAACTATATTCGAAGCAGATGGCAAATCAGAAACATCAGTGCCAATGTTTACCCCCACGTATGCACCTGCAAGTTAAAAAATTAGATCTAGCTTAAACTGAAAAAGATAATACAGTCAAAACCGTACACACACAAACCTAATCTCTTCCCCTTGTGGCAACTATAACACATGTATTAAAATAAACAGCATGACCAACGTACAAGAAACAGTATTTTTTACTGTAAAATCTTTGCTCGTGACTATCAAATTACAACACAATCTCAATCCAGCAATAAAGGAAACACCTAATCAATTTTAGCTAATAAATAATAAATGCAAATTCAAGCATAGGAGAATCAGGCAACTCTGCAGTCAGCTTGACGAACTAATGACTTCGCAGGAAGAATCTGATAGACAATGAAAAGGTATAAATTACCTGATGTGGTGGTAAGCATAGCAATAGTTAGCAACAAAACACTCGCAAGCCATGTTTCAAGCGTCATCACATCCAGCACAACCTCAGCACCAAGCTCAGCCCAATGTTGCTGCCCAGCAAAGCCTTAGCTATCAAACTTCACCCAAAAAAAACACGAAATCACATTTTGAACAATTAAAAACACCAACAAAACACAAACAGGAAACTAAAATACGCAAAGACCAAAAGTAGGACCAACCAACAATAATCAATGTACACTCCCACATGCACTCTAGCACAAAAACTGACACAAAATCAAATCTAGTAAGAACAAGTTTTCCAAATAGGTACATTGTGCACATCAACTCTCAGTCAAAACAAAAATAAAAAATAAAAAAGGTTGCGTTTTTAAAAACTTTTCTAAAAATGGAGGAGAGAGATGTGGGATTCCCCTTTTATTACCAAATAACCTAACCCTGGTAAAAGGGTTTGCAAATAAAGCAAGAGAAATGCGGAGTATGGACCTGATTTTGTTAGAAACCCACTAAAGTGGGTGCTGGGTAGCTACTCTTCTCTAGTTGAAAGGTAGGACAGAACAAAACAGAACAGAAAAAAGGCAACAGCTTTGAGCACAGTACCAGGTATCAGAAGCTGAAACAATGAGAAAATTGAAGTAGGGGATTTGGGTTACAATGTGTAGGTGCAGTGATACATTCAACAAACTAGTTTTTGGTGTGTTGGGAGAAGAAATGAGAATGAATTGAGGAAGAACGGGTGAGAGAGAGAAGGAAGAGGTAACAGTGTGAGTTGCAACACTCACTCACTCCCACTGAGTTATTACTACCAGACAACATTACATCCACATCATTGCCTTCCATTTTGCCCTATGCTCTTCTTTTCTTCTCTCTTCATTTACCCTTTTTTTCACATTTTTTTATGAATCTGCACATGCACCTTCCAATTTCTTTATTAATTATTCATAAATAATGCACTCACTATAAGCTTCTTTTCAAAAGATTCTTCCCTCTTTGATATATCATATTTCTAACATGATAACACCTACTAATAAAACTAATTTATTGTTATAAAATGTGAATCAAATTAATTTTCATTATTATTATTATTTTCAAAATACTTTTTTATTATTTATTTATACAAAACACAAAGACTAATAATAATAATTAATATCAATAAATAAGAAATCTAAATCTAAAATTGTACACAAATTATCAAATATTTTATGAAGATACCTATAATTTCTTCTTAAGAATTACTATTTTAAATGTTATCTATGGAATAAAGTAAAATTGATAATTAAACTTTTTATCTATTCATTGCATTTAGTTCCATTACATTTCTCTTAAGAAAGTATGCCTAAGAAAAGAAGTTCAATATAATTGATAGTTAATCTAAGAAGATTCAAGATTTTGTAAGAAAGTCAATACAAAATTAAAGTCGAAAAAACCACATTAATAACCTTTGAAATATTTTTAAATGGTATTGAACTTTTTTCAGTTTTAAAAAATAATACTTATTTCACTTATATATTTATCTTGTGCATGGTTTGGATAAATCTTTAGTTTACAATAAACAAGTAATTTTATTTTTATAAATTGTAGTTTCTATCTAGATAAATAATTTGAATCATGATGTAACTTTATTTTTAATTTTCATGATTTGTAAAATAGTAAAATTTAATTAGAAATCCATACATGTATTCATATTTAAGAAACTTTTTTTAATGTACTCTATGGAAGAAATAACTCCTGAAAATAAGTTATTAATTCTGATTTGTATAAAAATAGATTAATTAACACTGTTTATTTTATTTAGTAGAGTGACACCCTCCCTTAATACAAGTGACAAGTATTTTCTTTCTAAAAAAATAGTACATAAATATAATTTAGCAATATTATAGAAAAATAAGTTCGAAATCTCCAAAATTAAAATATTAATGTGGTTTTATAAAACAAAAAACTTGTAAAACATGAGAACACGATTTTATCAAAATAAATGAATGTATGGGGATTATCTTATTTTGAAAAATTATAACATAAGTGTGTATTGTGAAAAATGTGAAACACATACAAATATAGTTTGAATACTATTTTATCATAATGACACTTAAAATTAAAATATAAAGAATCCTCTGAAAAATATTGAGATAGGAAAAATATTTTTTAAAGTACATTTTCCAGTTTATATATTATAAAATTTTAATTTTTACATTTTAAAAGTTAGATGAATCCAAAAGAGGTATTAGTTTTTGCAACAGCTAAGGACAAAACCCGTGACCATGCTATTCATTAATGTTCTCTACTTCTTTTTTTTCTTTTTCTTTCTTTTGACAGAATATTTTTCTTTCCATATATAGTATGACTCTTATTCTTCCATTTATCTATCAAATAATATTTGGACTTAATTATTTGATTGAACATAAATTTAATAAGAGGTTCAAATAATTTTGAAATAAAAAGTGTTACGATGCAGACAAGAATAATTAACAAAATATTTATTTTTAATCAGCTAAAAGACAGTAGAATTTTATGAAAAGTAAATAAAGATCTTTAAAATATTTTTATATTATAAATTTTAAAACTTTAATCTATTAAATTTTTATAATCTATGCTTTACTAAATTATATTACTTTGATAAAAAAATGTTATGTTATCTAAATATGTCAAATATGTATATTAAACGAGTTCGAATAAAATTGAAGGTAAATAATTTATAATTCACGAAAAAATAACCATTTACTAGTTTAGTTTAATTTTTAACCATTATTTCTAGGGTTAAATATGTTTTTAGTCCCTAAATTATTGACCGTTTCTGGTTTTCGTCCCTCTTCCAAAGTAAGGTACAATTTAGTCCTCAATCTTTAAAAAACGTTCGTTTTAGTCGAAAAAACGAACGTTTTGAGGACTAAAACGAGGACTAAAAACAAAATTTTGAGGACTAAAACGAACGTTTTTCTAAAGAATGAGGACCAAATTGTACCTTACTTTGGAAGAGGGACGAAAACCAGAAACGGCCAATAGTTTAGGGACTAAAAACATATTTAATCCTTATTTCTATATTAATGTTGGATAAAATATGTGAAGAGTTTGACTATATTACTGTAGGAAAAGAAAAGGTCAATTCACTTTAATTGTATATCAATAAATATATAAAATAAATCAGTAAAATAAAACACTTTTTAGTAAATCCACTCACCAACTTAGATCAAACCGTCAAGAAATTTTTAACTCACGAAAAACTAAATCGAGTAAAATTCAATTATTTTGAGAAATCTGTACAAATTGAGTTATATTATTTTGATACCTTATTCATTTGTCATATTTAATTTTATAATTTTATGATTTTATAATATTATTACTCGTAATTTTATAATTTTATTTTAATATATAATTTCATAATCTTATAATTTTATAATTCTAGAAATATGTATGTTTTCTGGGTGGATTAAGATTGGTGAGATATTTCACCGACAATTGCGTGAGCGTATTTTGAGATTGATTGGGTTTTAGCAAATCATCTTGCTATTGTCACATGTTGTAGAGGCGAACATACTCAGCATTGATATTATATGGTTGCACTATGTAGACCATGTTATAAGGCATGAAGACCAAACTTATCTTCGTCTGATTTTGCTGATACCAACATTGGTCACTAGTGCAAATACAACGTATAACGTCACGCGTTCAACATCCAACCACTGAATAACCAACGTTAAAAATGACCGGTGACATTCTTGTAAATAAATGCAATTATTAGGCATCATTTAGAATTGTAATTCGATGTCAATTTGTTATATTATGTAAATTTTGCGAAAATGTTGACGTTAAAAGGTTAGTGAATTCAATAAAAATTTGAGCGAGAGATTGAAAATTTATTCACTTTATCTTAGCGCGCGATACCCTCTTCTTTGCTCAAACTTTTCTGGAACGAAGTTTGACGACCATCACATGTAATCTTTCTTTCCTATGTTACAAATGCATGATAATTAAATACTTTAGGTATGATTTTCGTTTGTTTTGACCGATTATTTTCGTGTTTTTGTCCTTCATAGGCGCATTCTGCTTTCTCTCTCATTGGTGACAACACTTTATTCCGACGAACCCATCTTTTGAAGGTTAGTTTTCGTTTTCATTTTGAAGAATTTATTTGTTAAACATGTTTGTTGTTGTTTGATTGACCCTGTTTTTTGTTTTGTATTGTTATTTGTTGTTGATACTACACTAGACATTCATAGTTCGTTATGTTGTATAAAATACCAAAAACTAAAATTTGTTGTTTTTTCTGCATTTTAGGTCTCGTAGAGTTGTTAAAAAGATCACAATTAATTAAAAAAAACAAAAAATAATTTCTTAATGTCAAATATTGTCAAAATTTGACGTTAATTTGTTTGACGTCGAATTGTTTTATGTTCGACATCAATTTAACGTCTCTTGATATGACGTCGACCTCGAATTCGACGTGAAAGGTTGAAAAACACCGACGTTATACGGTGTTTTTGTACTAGTGGGTTCAAAAGGGTATCTCATCCATATGTTATTCCTACTGCCGATCAGGACCGACCTAGTCTTACTCCTAGACTTTGATGACATATTCCATATGACGTGCTCGTTGGTCGTAGATCTCCCATAAATAATGGTTTATTGGTATGTTATCCTACATTATTTATTTTATAAAGTTCATTTATGAATGTTTATTATTTTTTGTGTAACTGTTAATGCAGGGTTCTTTAAGGTGCATTGCCATGATCTTAGAGACGATGATCTTTTGTCGTGATGTGAGCGAGATGATTATAACATGTGATCATACCAACGAGACCCTGTAAATAGCTCGTGTTTCGGTTGAAGAACATTCACCAAGCAGTAGAGGTCGTCAGAATGTATGTGGCAGACGATCATCTTCATCCGGATAACATTGTCTTTTATAAGTATTCATTTTTATTATCTTCTACTATTGCTACTTTTATTGTAATATTTTGATTTAAGGAACATTTTATGAACATAATTTAACATTTTAGTTCATATTTACATACTCATTCATTTGTATGTATTTCTTTTGATAATGGAGAGATGAGAGATTTATATGCGTGAGAGTATAACGCTATGTAATTAATTAACAACAATATTCAATGTTTATTTATATATTTCTTCACATTACATAAAGATCATGGTTCAACTAAGTCAATATAAGAGGTAGTAATGTCCATAAACTATGCAAATGTTTGCATCCTACTTGTATAAAAAGATGACCATGTTCATACCTCAAGATAACAATGGAGTGAGAATATGATATCCATCAACCTTCTTGTAGGTGAATTTATATTATTAAATGAAAGGACAAGTAATTTTTAAATGAAAGAAAAAAAATAATAGCATTACCTGCACAAAATGAAATCCATGAATGTGTCCTATACAAACTAATTGATATTGTCTTATATCAGAACGTGGTATGCTACGTAGTGGGAAGATATTATAATTCTGACCATACACAAATAGACTAAGATTACATTATATCGATTACAATTGCATAGCCAATGTACAGTATAGTCATCCACTTGTTCACATTAACTTGTAAGAAATGAAAGAAATTGTTATGAAATAAGAAGAAAACAAATAATAAATACTTATTCAATATAAGAATGTGATTGTGACTTGACTAACAAAGATTTCATCAGTTCTTGAAGTCGGTCATAACTTCCCACTAGTGTTGCATATTTTTACGCCATTGACAAAGTTCTTTGTAGAGATCATGTCGGACAAGGGGCCATGATTCTTCCCTCAACCCTAATTACACAACAATGCTTCTACCCCCACAATGACCACCACCAGCCACGACATCAACAACATTGACAATGTTTAGGTGACAAATAGGATGAAAGTGCTCTATCAT